AAGAAATGGTTTTTGGGGGTTTTATTGTCAATTTTACGATTTAGGTCCTCAAGGTTCAAGTTTCAACTATTTTGGTCCATTAAGTTCTAATTAAAATGAAAAATGTCATTCAGTGACCATTATTGAAATCAGATGATATTTCAGTGATCGTTAGTATAATTTTTAAATTTTAGTGACCGTTTGTGAAATTAAGCCAAAGAATATTTGTATAAGTCAAAAAAGGAGATATTTTCTTTGCACACCTTGCCTTTGTCATAAAAGGAGACCCATACACTTGCCTTATCCATTTCTTTACGCACTTTCTTTCCGGAGGAGATATTTTCTTCTCCAAATCAAGTCAAATGCACTTTTCTTCTTCCCAAATCATTCATTTCTATGATTAATCCACTTCAAAAATTCCCATTTCTATAACCCTTTTTCATGTCCTCCATGGCTGCTCTATCAATAGGCCATTTATGTCCGATTCCAGATCATCAACTCAATTCCGTAAAAAAATCAAGAAAATTCATCTCAGCTTGTAGCCAAAACCGCGATCCGTCTAATGCGAAAACGAAGAAGGAAAGTAATGAAAAGAATAAGGGAATAGTGCAGCAGCTTTATTTTGGTATGGAGAAACTTGGAGGGGTGGTGATGGATAATTTGAGTCCAAAGCAGAAGGGTGATTGGAAAGACATAACTTTAATGAGCCTCTCATTTGCTGTATATGTGTATATGTCACAAAAGATAGTCTGTGCTTACTGTGCATGGATGTCTATTCTCAGATAGTAATAATTTTCTTTCTTTTCTATTCCGATTCTTATTTGAATTGAGATGAGGAATTATGGGTTCTCATCTTTTAATTACATGTCTTATTATTATTTAAGTTGCTTTTATTTGGGTAGTGTCGTCAGTTTTGCTGTATGATCCTGCCAATTTGTAAGTTTATTGTCCATTTATAATGTCTAGTTTTGCAGTTTGTCAGATTGAATCATTGAACAGAACAGAAGCATGTAGTTATTTCTATGTTAAATAGCAATTCAGACTGGCCTTTCTAATCTGCAAACAAAGAGGGACCTTGCTATACATACATGCTAGCTTACACTCTGTGTTACACTTTGTAATAAAAAGACTAAATACACTTCTTCTATCTTTAAGTCAAGTCAAGGTTTTCTATTCCTAATATAGGATAGGTTTGATGTAT